CCTTGCTGATCTGCTCGATGCCCTGCAGGGTCATGTCCGTCAACATGTTGGACTCGATGCACCTCAAGAAGACGTCGTCGTCCATCTTGTCCACCACCTCCTCCTCCTGGGGACAACAGGAGGTGACAACCACCCTCCCCGGGGTCGGGTTGTCTCCTCCCCACCCATGGGTGTCCCACCCCCACCCCACCCCACCCCACCCACCTCCTGCATCTTGTTCTCGTCGCTGTTCATGATGCGGATCCTCAAAACCAACTTCTCGGCGTTGTCATCGTTGAAGATGCAGTTGAGGTCGTCACCGAAACCTGACGGAGGGGACATCAACCCCACCCCATGGTCACCCAGGAGCTCCCAAAGCCCCCCCAGATGCCCTCAAGGCTCCTCCAGGACCTCCAAAGCCCCCTCAGATGCCTTCAAGGCTCACCCAGGACCTCCAAAGCCCTCTCAGATGCCCTCAAGGCTCTTCTAGGTCGCCCAAAGCCCCCTCAGATGCCTTCAAGTCTCCTCCAGGACCTCCAAACCCCCCTCAGATACCTTCAAGGCTCACCTAGGTCCCCCAAAGCCCCCTTAGATGCCTTCAAGGCTCTTCTAGGTCCCCCAAAGCCCCCTCAGATGCCTTCAAGGCTCACCCAGGACCTCCAAAGCCCTCTCAGATGCCTTCAAGGCTCTCCTAGGTCCCCAGAAGCCCCCTCAGATGCCTTCAAGGCTCCCCCTGACCCCTCCAGGACCTCCAAAGCCCCCTCAGATGCCCTCAAGGCTCCTCCAGGACCTCCAAAGCCCCCTCAGATGCCTTCAAGGCTCACCCAGGACCTCCAAAGCCCTCTCAGATGCCCTCAAGGCTCTTCTAGGTCGCCCAAAGCCCCCTCAGATCCCCTCAAGGCTCATCTAGGACCCTCCAAAGACCATCCATGGTCACCCAGGACCCTCAAAGTACCCCCAGATGCCTTCAAGGCTCCTCCAGGACCTCCAAAGCCTGCTCAGATGCCCTCAAGGCTCCTCCAGGACCTCCAAAGCCCCCTCAGATGCCTTCAAGGCTCTCCTAGGTCCCCCAAAGCCCCCTCAGATGCCTTCAAGTCTCCCCCTGACCCCTCCAAAGCCCCCTCAGATGCCCTCAAGGCTCACCCAGGACCTCCAAAGCCTTCTCAGATGCCCTCAAGGTTCTCCTAGGTCCCTCAAAGCCCCCTCAGATGCCTTCAAGTCTCCTCCAGGACCTCCAAA